CATACCTGAAGGAGTTCAGGTGACTCACCATATACTCCTCTTCGCCATGCACAGTGACAATCTTCCTCTTCACCGGGTATTTCAGCATTTGGTGCAGCGTAGAAGTAACGGCCCCAGATTCATGGATCCAAGGACGACCCAACAAACAAGAGTATGATGGCCTGATGTCCATCACGTAGAAGGTGTACTCAAAGGTCTGAGAGACTTCTTTGACAGGGATGTACACCTCCCCATGCACCATTCTCTTCGACCCATCAAAAGCCCTTACCACAATGTTACTAGGCTTTAAGGTCAAGCCTTCATAATCCAGCCGATCAAGAACCTTCTTGGGTAGAACATTCAGCGAAGACCCAATATCCACCAGCACATGAGCCATAGTGGTGCCCCTGTATTCGATCGAGACATGCAGAGCATGATTATGCTTCCTCCCTTTCGGTGTCAAGTCGGAATCTGAAAAACCCAGCCCATTGTCAGTAGTCAAGCTGGCCACACAGTCTTTGAATTGATCGACTGAAGTTTCTTGCGGCACATGTGCAGTCCTGAGGAATGCAATCAAGGCCTTCACATGGGCCTCGGAACACAACAATAGAGACAACATTGATATCTTCGAGGGGGTCTACCCTAGCTGCTCGACCACATTGTAGTCGCTCTTTTTGATTACTTTTAATACTTCCTCTATCTCTTGCTTAGAGGCTTCTACAACAATCTTTCTAGGGGCCTCCGTCTGGGCAGGCTCACCCATAGCTTCTTTGACTCGAGTCCAAGATGACTCAACGAAGGGAGTAATAATTGGAGTAAGAACAGGAGTAGTAGCTGAAGTACTAGCAGGAACATCAGATGGAATAACAACAGGTTTATTGACAGTCTTCGGGGAAATCTCGGGAGAGAAAATCCTTCCACTTCTAGTAATCTTACTGGTCCCGACAATGTTACTGACATTGGGATCAGCCTCTTCATTCTTCAGATCTTGTTTAACGCCATGATAGTAAACATCAGCGCCATAATGCCAAGGGACAACTTTGTTCGAGGCGTATGGGACATGACTAGGAAAGTGATTATTAACGGAGCGAGTATCGGAGCGGGTGTAATCCTAACAAGTCTTCTCGAGGAGACCTTGGAAGGATTGGCAGAAATGGTTATAATAGAAATATCTTCACACCGAACAATTGGAATCAAAGTCTTTTCGAACAAAATTTCTCTGTTGTCCATTAGGCGTTGGACACCTGCTCTCAACAAATAGCAATCGGTGGGCAGAGATGAACACATGTGGCAACCTTCACCATAACCCGGAAATAAACCGGCCAGCAACAAATTCTTCTTAACAGTCATGAGAGGAGTAGAAACTTCATCAACTGAGGTCACAAATAGATCGGTATCAACGGCATTAACTCCACGATTGTGCTTAGGCATGGGAGCAGTTATGACATTGGGCTTCTCCGGAGCATCGAACTCAATCTCCTTGGCTTCAATCAGATCTTGTACTTTATTTCTTAGAGCCCAACAATCATTTGTATCGTGGCCAGGACTCTCAGAATGGTAGGCACACCGAGCGTTTGGATTTTACCGAGGAGATGTAGTATTAGGATTCTTGGGAGCCTCTTTCAAGGTTGCCAAGTTGGATCCCAGCAGATGGGGTAGAATCTCAGTCAATGTCATGTTAATCTAGGTAAACTACCTTTGTGGTCTTTCTACCCTTTGCTGATTGCTTCATTATGGGGTAGCCGTAGGCCTAGGTATCATCACAGCACCTACCGTTAGGCAGTGATCAGCTCTGCTTTGACCTCTTGGGCTATAAATGGCACTGGCCTCCTTCTTACTAGTGAAGAGATTCTTTACTGAACTCGAAGTGGTGTCGTTCTGTATTTTTCTGCTCTGGATCCCGGCTTCTACCCTCTCTCCAGTTAATATCAGCTCAGTGAAACAAGCTAATAAGCTGCCGATCAAATGGTTGAAAATGGACCAAACAACGTTCCAAGAAACATGTCAACCAACTCCCTGTCAGATAAAGGGGGTTGGACTCTCCCAGCCAAATCTCTCCATTTTTGCGCATAGTCTTTAAAGCTTTCACTAGCACCCATGGACATACTCTAGAAAGAAGTGTACCCACAAGTTTCTATCAGCGGTGTGGGGTTGGATCTTCCTTACATAGGAACAAAGATGGAGCGTTGGGCAAGACACTCCATCATACTTTGTGAAAATTGGAGCCTTAAATTTCTGTAGGATGACCACTCCCGACACCAATCCCAGTTCTTCAAAGTCCAACCCAGGTATTCTCTGGACTTCTATAGCGCTCAATTGATCCTCTAATTGCTTATATTTATCCTCAGTGGGAGGATACTGCTCATCATTGTAGTCTGTATCATTGTCAGAAACTTCAGGGCTAGGGTCCTTCTCCCTTGTCTCCCTCTCTTGATTCTCCCCTTATTTAGACGAGGAGGTCAGGTCGACTGGTTGCTTTAATGGCCCCCTGAACCTTCTTCCCAGATTCAAAACACCAGAGACCTTCTTCTTTTTCTACTTCTCCTTCAGGATGAGGCCCCTCATATCCTCCTGCCCTTTTGCCAGAGTTATGAACATCTGTTGAAATTGGGCATTTTGTGCCTGAAGATCTTTTATGCTTTGTTCAGAAAACATTTTTGCTGAAATAAACAGCAAAGAAGATGAGAAACCTGTAATGGTACCTGTCTATGCAATGATATGGATGAGATGCGTATGCAATGATTTCAAGGACTTTTAAAGCCTCAAATTTGTTTAACCAAAAAGAAACACACGTTAATTATATTAAAGAGTTCGAATTGTTACAAAGAATTCCCTTTAGTCTTACAATTAAACAAAACAAAACTTAAAGCAAAAAGAAACTAGGTCTCCCAGGAGCGCATCCTCTTTGGTGCAATGTAGGCGTTTATGTTTATTTCTTCATGAAGTAACCTAGTGAGCTCCAGGACCTTCTTCTCGCTGGTATGGAACTGAGCTTCAAACGTGTCCCGCTCCTATTTAAGTTGGACCCAGGATTTCTGTAACTCCTCATGATCAGTTGCCATGTCAGGATGATGAACAAGGTAAGGAGTGTCTTCTTTAGCAACTGGTTCCACAATTATTAGTAGGACAGCAGGGTAAGGCATCATAAGACTTTGGGCGCAGGCTCGTACCCATCAGAGATAGGGCTCAAGGAGGGATGGAATTCTTGTGCCCCAGTGTTTTATTGTCATTTTATGTACCATGCCCCAAGCTCTCATGAACCTTTTACAGTAACCCTGAGCATCATTCTCATAATGGAAGGTGATTCCTTGGATAAGTGTATCATGAGGACCATCCCTTCTCGCGTAACCAAATTGTTGTAGTGCCAAAAAGGGTTATAAGTGATTCGTCCCCTAATGCCTAAGAGAGGGACATTAGGGAATTCACCACAGCGATCAATGACAGTAACATCTTCCGAGGACCGTTAACACCAATGAATGTCTGAATGTGTAAGGGACATCAGCCTATGAGTCCATTTCATACCCTGCTCATTCTTCAAAATAGACCAGGGTAGGTGCGAAATAAACCACCTAGCCAACAGAGGAGTGCAACACTGGAGGGCCCCCCTTCTCTTTAGAGTGCGAGTATACAAAGAGTGTAAAATGTCCCCAAGTAATGTAGGCACCGGATTATGAGACAAAAAAACCTTAATAGTATTCACATCTACAAGTTGGTCCGCATTAGGGAAAAGTACCATCCCGTAGATGAGGAGTTCCAATACCTCTTTGAAAGCTTGTAAATCCAGGGTATCCCAAAAATAGTAAGCCTTCTCGAATATAAATTTAATCGGAATTCCTTGGACACTTCCTCTAGTTTCCCAATTTGTCACTACGTCAGACCGTTGTAAGGATAGAGCTCGAGCAACCTCTTCAGACTTTGGATGTTCGTCCATACCATTTAAAGGTAACTGATCATGAATAGGTACCCCCTACAACTGAGAAAATTCCTCCATAGTAGGTACTAGCTGATAGTCTGGGAAAGTCAAGCAGTGGTGCACAGGATCAAAGAACTGAAACAACACTTTTAACAATTCTTCATCAGGTTTTGAAGTGACTAAGTTAAGCAACCGACCATGTTTTTAAGTGAAGGGAGAGCTTTCAGGAATCCTTAGTGCCAAGACCTTTAGTTGGAGAGGCACTTTCACAAGGTTAATCTGGATAGTGTTCCTACAGGCGGATGTCATGTCACTACAAGAAAAAAAGAGATTTACGACACATAAATTGCGACAGTTCCCACAAAACCGTCCTTATTCCTGAATTGCGACAGTTGTCACGACGGTTAGGCTCAACCGTCGTAGATTTTCAAGCATTATGAGTAACATAATTGCGACAGTTATCAAAAAACCGCCCTCTTTTCACATCCGCGACAATTAGGTGAACTGTCGTAACTACATTAGCCAATCATAATCGCTACTTTTTTTTATTCTTTTACTTTCCCACTTTTTTTCTTTCATTTCCCCTTCTTTTTCTCTTTTATTAATAATAATAATAATAATAATAATAATAATAATAATAATAATAATAATAATAATAATAATAATAATAATAATAATAATAAAATAAATTACCAACAAAATAAATTTTCACACCCATCAATATTATTTTAAGATTTTCATAATTTTATTTATTAAATTACAATTTCCTTTATATTTTTCTTCTTTATTACGATTTCACTTCTTTTCTCAAATTTAAGCATTATTTTTATTTCATATTTTTTTATTTAATAAAACAAATAATAAAATAAAAAAGAAAAGAAAAAAACAAATTTTTCGTTTGATGAAATAGAGCTAGGGTTAAGAAGTTGTTTCATCTTCTTCTTAAAACACGACTTCCTCTCCTTCTCAAAATCGCGGCCGCTCTCACCACTGCTTATTCTGTTCCGGCGCTGTCTCTGTCACCTTGCTCCGTTCATCACAGCTTCAGTCTGCCTTCGACAATCAACAGAAACGCTTCTCCGATCTCTTCTCTCGAATCTCTCTGTTAATGCCTCTGATTCCGTCTATCATCTTCGCTTCGAGCCACAAAGTATTCTTCGACATCAGTATCGGTAATCCAGTTGGAAAACTAGTGGGTAAGATTGTCATCGGACTCTTTGGGGACGATGTCCCCCAAACTACCGAGAACTTCCGGGCCCTTTGCACTGGTGACAAGGGTTTTGGCTACAAGAACTCCACCTTCCATCGTGTCATCAGAGACTTCATGGTTCAAGGAGGAGATTTCGACAAAGGAAATGGAACTGGAGGCAAAAGTATATATGGTCGCACTTTCAAAGATGAGAATTTTAAACTCTCTCATACTGGACCCGGAACTGTTAGTATGGCTAATGCCGGTCCCAACACCAATGGGAGTCAGTTTTTCATATGCACCGTCAAGGTACTCCATAACTTCCTTTCAATTCATATCTGCTTATCAACTTCATAACTTCCATTTTCAACCTCTCTTACTTTCAATTCATATCTGCTTATCAACTTCATAACTTCCATTTTCAACCTCTCTTACTTTCAATTCATATCTGCTTATCAACTTATTTGGCACAGACGCAATGGCTTGATCAGAAACATGTTGTTTTTGGCCAAGTTTTGGAAGGCATGGACATTGTTAGATTGATTGAATCGCAAGAGACAGATCGTGGTGATCGTCCACGAAAGAAGGTTGTTATCAGTGACTGTGGTGAGCTGCCAATTGCTTGATATGTTTTGTTTTTTTGCCTGCTCCCCAACAAACCGAGTTCTTGCTCTCTGCAACTTTTTTTGTTTCACTACCATAATTCTCTATGACTTGAGTACCTTTCTTATTTTGATACTAGGACCTACAAACTCTTATCACCTATTTTTATTCTAGTAGAGCAATATAGTTGGAGTTGCTATCATATTGGTTGGGAGATTTTAGATCTTATTTGATTCTGAATAGTAAGTATCCTTAAAATAACCCAAAGTGCACAGATTCAGCATGGAATCAAATGTGAGGGAACTCTGGTGAAATTTAATAAGATTGTGATTGACTTTTCTAAGACATTCTATTACCAATTTTATGATTCTTTTCTTTTCCTGAATCATTGAGAACGTTGTAACTTCCTCTTGCTCTTTCAGAGATACCCTTCCTTCAAATATTTTAAGGTGGATCTTGTCTGGCTTAATTGTCACTACCACTAGTCTGCAAGATCGGAATGTGATTTATGATGTTGATGTTCCGCGTTCACCTATCTTGTAGCTGTCTCTCTCATACACCCCTTTTCCTACCTCTTGTTTGTGCCTGTTTAAATTTATGTCAAAGAAAAAACTTACAACTTCACATATCTCCCAGTTTCATATTTGTTTATGGTACAAGCTGTGTAAAAGAAATAGGTGTTCTGGATGCTGACTCTGTCACAGAATATTCTGTCTGCTATCATTCTAAAGATTCAGAGTTCTCTTTTACTCTGTGTACATATTAAAGATGCAGAGTTCTATTTTGGATCAAAAGAGTTCTAGATATGTTACTGAACATATTCAAGAAAAATAGATGAATGCTGTAGGTTCAACCATCGCTCTGTCAAAGTTCAACCATCTTTCTCTCTTCGCCTATTCAAATCGATGATGAGCCACTTCGCAACGCCTCCACACGCCCTCAGAATCTTAGATATTGGAATACTGTACATGTATCGATCTCTTGATGGGCCGCGAGATGATGCTCCAGAAAATGTTACCATTCTACATTAGATATTTCAATTCAAAAAGATTTTGGTGAAGATGGGACTATTAGTAAACTACTGTTCTTCACGCGGCTGCTGTGATGGAAAGCCACAAAGATGCTGTTCTTTTGATGGAAGCCGAGATTTCTTCATATTTATTCGTTTTATGTTTTAAGAGGACTTGGGGTTATAAAGAGGTGGAATAGTAATATTGTGAGGGAGAGGAGGGAGAATGATGCCAGGAGATGGAGTTCTACAGTTATTGTTTTTCGTTTCTATTCAATTTATCGTAGGGGAAACATGTCAAGGACGAGGAGAAGTGGAGATTGCCGAAGCTACTATGAGGGTTAGTTCGTAATTGATATTTCATTTCCATGGTCTCAAAAAGGAGTACATTGGGAGAAGATTCAGAGGGATCACAAAACAGAAGGTGTGAAGAGGTGATGTTCCCTAACTTTTCCACTATACCATAATAGTAGAGAAGCAAAATCTATTCAATTTGTAATGAACATTTAGTTGTCTCCTGAATTTGGATTCAAATGATAGTTAGTTTTTAAGCTGAAACTTAGCTGTCTCTTTAATTTCTTTGTTTTTATTTGTTTTCTTTTTCAGATGTGTTGTTGTATCATCTGATTTTAGAATTTATTGCTGTTGTTAACAAATTGTGAGATGGTTAATAAATTGCTTCTAGAAGGAGCTGAATACATAACTCAGTTGAAAAGTTTCTAGAAGTTAGAAGTTTGTTTAAACTTGCCCTAAGATATTGCCTATGTTTTGTGTGAATCTTGCAGGCTGCTAGGTATGCGTAGCTTGGACCAAATGGTAGTCAAGGAAGGATCATGGTCCTAGCATGGAAGTTTAACACAAAATCACTTAACACTAAGGACTTTCATGAATTTTGTAGAATATTGTAACATTTTTTGTAATTCTCTCAAGTTGTAGCAAACCAATGTAAATATTAAAATGAAATTTGGCCTTTGATGATATTTGAATTTTTCTTGTTTATTGGTAAAATTTGCACTTCTTTTTACCTTTGATCACATTTTTTTGATATTATTGATGATTATTTGATATTAAATGTTTTTATTGTAATTAACTTTATTATGTTGAAAAGTGATAGAAAATAAAATAAAAATACTATAAATAAAAAAATATTAAAGTAAATAATAATTTAAATATAATAGTAAAATATTATAGTAAAATAATATTATATTTAAAATTATTTTACTAAATAATAATTTAAATAAAAATATTATTTGAAATTTATAAATCAGATTACGACGGTTAAAACCGCCGCAATTTCTAACCTACGGCGGTAGAATAACCGTCGCAAACAACAACAAAAACAAAAAATAAAGTCAAATTCACGACGGTATATAACCGTCGCTATCTGTTGTGCGTGACAGTTTTTGCAACCGTCGCGAAATAGGCTGGGGACGCACGATTCTGCGACGGTACTTCTACCGTCGTAGATTGTAAATTGCGACGGTTTTAACCGTCGTAATCAGCCAAAATAACCGTCCCAATCTATCATTTTTCTTGTAGTGTGTCCTACAAAACAGAGCAAATATGAGCCCTAAGAAATCCTTGAAATGGTTAGTTATGATATTCTGTGCTTATGATGTCATGATTATGCTAAAAATCACATGTATAGCAAGCAACAAACAAGTCACACCAAGTCCTTAGGTTTAAAACCTGCATGGATTTTAAGGTAGTACCCTCTTGAAGCTGGATTGGTTCAACCTGTCCTATAAATAGTAACTGGGTTCTAAGGGATCTGAATATCACCGATCTTTCCCTCAAGTTTCATTCAATAGGAGATTGACTCGCAACCAAACAAAACTCAAGAGTTAAACCTCAATGAGTGTAGCATCAAGTATCTGTCGACCTTGAGAATACACCAAAGTTGACCATATCGTTATGTCCTATTGGCCAAGTTGTGCAATTAAAGGTTCTAAGGTCAGTTAATGCTTTACGACACCACGCGACAGCCCCGTACTCTCCCTGATTGACTTAAGGGTTACCGGTACCAACCAAAGTTCCATATCAACGAAGCTACTACTTCAACTGTGTCAGCATACCCCGCACAGTTCACTCATAGTTTATTTCTACTTACCTAAAAGGTATCACCAAATCCGGGTGTAGGATCTATATAACCCCAACAGAACCCTTGAATATAAACCAGGCAAAGCAAAAGACAAGAAAGAAATTTTTAGAGATGACCTTGATCCTAAGGTATACCCCACTTATTAGATCCCCAGCAGAGTTTCCAGTTCTGTGATACGGTGGCAGAACCGACAGTTATATTGGTTTGCATTTTTTATTCGCAAATGTCGCGGTAAGCAAGAGTCGCCACCGACTTTTATTTCATCCAACAAAGGAAAAGGAAAAAGAACAGAAAAACCTTTTTCAAGATGATTCTGAGTACGGGGGGTAGATTATAGAAAGGGAAGGTGTTAGCACCCTTTCTATCTGTGGTTTTCCACGGGCTCTTAGGTACTTGCTCATTTTGAAATTGCTTGTGTGTGTTTTAAAAAGTTTTGTTTACTTCGTGATAACCCCTATATCTATCTTCAAGAGTGTGATGAAGTTGTTTTGAAAACTATTTTTGAAAAGTGTTTGTTTGAAAAGTTTTTGTTTTGAGCAAGTACTTAAGAGTTTTCTACCTACTCGAAAAAAGTCTGTTCGTTTTCGTTTCCTTTAGACAGCGCTATGCTACTATTAAGGACTAGGTATCCCTATCGTCGGAGTTTTAAAGGGACATTCGAAGGGACGAAATGGTCTCTGAAGGCAACAAGTAAGGATACCTTAGCATTTCGAAGGGACTGTCGTCATAAGATCAATTTTCGTAGGCAACTCGAGGGACAAGTAGGGACTATGATCTTTATGACGACTTTGAACAACGGGTCATTTCTAAGGTATCCCTACGTTCGAGGGACACGACCATTATTTCTGAGGCAACCAAGTGGGGCAAACCCTAGGATTGAGCATGTGCAAGTGTGCCTTCTTTCAGTTAATTGTCTTTGCACAATTACGGTTATCTACCGTTTTAAAGTTATTTATCTTGCCATTCAATCCTATTATTCATACATTTAGGCAGTTAATAGTTGCGGAATTTAAAGAGTGCAAAAAGAAAATCTATGCTATTACAAGGCTTTTGGGAAGATACACAAATATTTGACTGAAAATAAATATGCGGAAATTAACATCCTAATTAAACTATTACAAACTTTAAACAGTTACAATAAATTCGAATAAATAAATAAATAAATAAATACGTGCACGAAGAATTAAGACGGGAATAGAGAAAGAATATTTTTTTTGGATTTTTTAAGAAAAGTAATTAATATTGCAAATTAACTTAATTTCTATTTATTTTTAATTATAAATTTTTTTTTTCAAGTTAACCTAATTTTCTATTGAATTTTAATTACAAAAAAGGAATTTCAATTAATCTAATTAAACTAATTAATTAATTGCAATTAAATATTTTATGAAAAAAAAGTAAATCTAATTTTTTTAGTGATTTTCTGATTTTATGATTTAATTGAAAAAAATGATTTTTAATGTTTTATTTTTGTGAGAGAATAATTGATCAAATAAATTAACAAAGAAAATAAAAAAGAGAAAGAGTTTCGGCCTGGAGTGATGTTAGTAGAACAGGGGGGTCTGAATTGGAATTTTCAAGCCCAGATTTGTGCAAGCCCACCATGTGTTTGGATCCAGTGTTGGCCATGTTTGAGGGTGCACCATAGACTTCTCTCCACTGGGCGCTAGATCTAGATCTGAAGATGATCCACTAGCTGGATTTGGAGGGTGTACGAGAGCTTTCCTAGGTAGTGCATACTGGATCCTGTGAAAATATTGGAAAAAAATGCAAAAGCTCACGCCTGGGATCGAACCCAGGACATGAGCTTCATACTTCCCTCCCCTGACCAACTGCGATAACTTGCTTATCTGTTAGTATGATGAACAAATAATAATATAATAGAAAAGCATGCCTTATGCCCAAAAGCGCGC